CTCCTTGGAGAGAACAAGCATGACAGAAAGAAGGGCTGCTCAGGCACAGGGAGACAGCTCAGGGGGTAGGAGGGCATGGAGGGATGGACAGAGGGAAGAGGGATGGACAACTATTAGGAGGAAGTGGGAAGGGAGATGTTGCATTGTGCTAAATTGTGGTCAATGTCATGAGACAAAGTGTATGTGATTTGGCTGTATGGAAAGTGTATTTGCTCTGTAAATTTTCACCCAAATCACAATTAAAAAAAAAAAAAAAAAGACAGTAACAGAATATTATGAAGAATTGTACTCCGAAAGATTAAAAAACCTAGAATAGATGGACAAAGTGCTAGAAACCCAAGACCTACCCTAAACTAACCCAGTCTAAGATACAATAGTTGAACAGACCCATAACAAAAGAAGAGTTGAGCAGGTCATAAAAAAAACTCCCCCCCCCAAAAAAAATTCCTGGCCCAGATGACTTCACTGGAGAATTCTATCAAATATTCAGAGAAGAACTGATACCTTTACTACTCCAACTATTCCAGAACATAGAAAATGAAGGAATACTTCCAAATTCATTCTATGAAGCAAGCATAACCCTGACACCAAAACCAGGTAAAGACTAAAAAGGGAAACTACAGACCAGTTTCCCTCATGAATATAGATGCAAAAATCAACAAAATCCAACAACATATCAAAAAATAATACAGTGTGATCAAGTGGGCTTCATACCAGGTATGCAAGGATGCCTCAACATCAGAAAAACAATCAACGTAATTCACTACATAAATGAAACAAAAGAATCATATGATCATATCAGTTGATGCAGAAAAGGCATTAGATAAAATCCAACACACATTCCTGATGAAAAAAACAAAACTCTCAGAAAAATAGGAATAGAAGGGAAAATCCCCAACATAATAAAAGGCATATATGCAAAACTAACAGCCAACATTACTGTCAATGGAGAAAGACTCAAACCATTCACCTTGTGAACAGAAACCAGGCAAGGATGCGCTCTATTACTACTTCTACCTGGCCAACCATCCGGAAGAGATCTATATTTGTGTCCATTCCAAAGAAAGGTAATCCAAGAGAATGTGGAAATTATCAAACAGTACCACTGATATCACATGCAAATAAAATTTTGCTGAAGATAATTCAAAAGTGGCCGCACCAGTACATCAACGGGGAACTGCCAGAAGCTGGATTCAGAAGATGACATGAAACAAGGGATATCATTGTTGATGTTAGAGAGATCTTAGCTGAAAACAAGATCAGAAAGATATTTACCTGTGTTTTATTGACTATGTAAAGGTATTCAAATATGTGGATCATAACAAATTAAGGATAACATCGCAAGGAATCTGAATTCCAGGACACTTAATTGTGCCCATGAGGAACTTGTACACAGATCACGAGGCTGTTGCTCAAACAGAACATGGGAATACTAAGTGGTTTCAAATCAGGAAAGGTGGGTGTCAGGGCTGTATCATTTCACCATACTCATTCAATCTGTATTCTGAACAAATAATTCAAGAATCTGGACTATATGAAGAGAATGTGACATCAGGCACTAACAATCTGTGATATGCAGATGACACAACTTTGCTTGCTGAAAATGAAGAAGACTTGAAGCACTTCCTGATCAAGATCAAAGACTACAGCCTTCGGTATGGATTACACCTCATGCAGTGTAGTAAATTACTTAGTGTGGCTTTTCTACCCATAAGTCTTTGTAAACTCCAAGATGGGATTTGCTATGAGCAACTGAGGAGCTCCTGATTGCTGAAGCTATCCACCTGGGTTATTTCTGTTGGGCATGGTGCAATACAATGTTCTGGGAGGTTCCCACTCTCTCTCAGGTGCTTA